GCTTCCTCAATTGCTCTGGCTCCTTTGGATCATGGCCCTCCATTTTGAGATCGGACTCCCATTTTTCTTCTTTTTCATACTGATGATTAAAGATCAGAAGACTAGGGGACTCACTCTCCCCATATGTTAAGGACTGAGATGGTGAGTATTGTTAAGTGTTCAGTCATGAGGCCTGACCTAACTTCTCACAAATTAATGAAAGTACAGAATGTGTGATGAAACTACGCACAAAGATGTCCAAATGATACAAGGATATTTCAACCTTAATTATGATGAGGAGCAAAATAGAATCATTTATTCAGAGCCTGCACCTGCCCAATATTCAGCCCACCCCTACTATTGGCAGACTGGGGTTAGTTCACTTCTTTCTCTCTCCAGTGTGACATACACTCAACACAGGCAAGTTTCATGCTTTCCTAGAGGTCTAATCCAAGGTGTTATTCTTGCTCCACCCTTCCACTGGGACTGCTGGCTTCAGGGTGAGACACATGACATTCTGTCCTTGCTGAAGTTCAAAGCCACAGAAAAGTCCATGCTTCACTTCCCCTAAGAAGCGTAGCCTTCAACCCAGCCTCTGTGAGGCACACCAACTTTCCACGAGTGATTACGCTTCTCAAGTATTTTTGCCTTGAACTTGAATCTTTCCGTGAGCATTTTTTTCAGCTGAATCCATAAAGGTCATTGTAATTTTCACTTACATGCTTCCACATTTTAGGAAAAATAGTGAAAAAGAAAAAAAAAGGATTCCCTATGATTTGAACAATCATGGTATATAAAGACAGAGCTACATGCTCTTCTCTTTTGCTTCACCTCAACCTAGATCTCTTAGGCCTAAGAACCCCTGGCTTGTGACCAATGCAGACAAAAGAGTGAAAACAGGTGCTCTGCCCTCCCCCATCCAAGAGCAGGTGCAAGACCCAGCGAGGTCAGCTGGACTCCCTGTCCCAGAAACATGAATCTTCAGTGATGATAAGAACTGCAGATAAGTGGTTGAGTCACATTTATTTCAGCATGGTGCCTGACACAGAAATTGGTCTCTGAAAACTGGGTACCAAAGTTGCTCCTTTTTTCTAACTTAATTTCTGTCCTGAAGTACGCTCAATAAATTCCAGCCAATAAGGGTGTTTTTGCTCCAGTGAGCCAGAGATCTTTTCTGTTGTGTACAATGTAAGAACCCTAGGGTACTCTCCATTGCACTGCTGTCCATCTTTACACTGCCACAAAACTGCTATTTTCTTGAGATCCTAGAGCCCAGTAGTTACATTTGTCTTCAGAATTCAGGAAAAGATTAAGATTTCTATCTCTGGGTGTCTTTTACTCTTGCAGAGTAGTCTGTATAGCTAAATGTAGACTGTGAGATTGATAATAATGGAGGGACTGCTTCTACCTACATAATTCACACAATCACAATGATGATGGGCATATTTAATCATCTCACCTTAAAGTGGATGATAATGGTACTGATTAGCATGCTGACGCTCTGGAACACACCCCCAAGTGCATGCACAAAAGTGGTCTGACACTGGCATTAGCTCGGCCTTCCTTGTGATTGTGGTCAAGGCATCCCTTGTGCAAAAGTACACTTATTCTGTAAGAGAGCACAATGCCTTCGCATACATGAGATTAGCCCTACAGAACCTATGTAGCACAGTAAGAGAATCAGCCATGGAGCTAGGTATCCAAGAGGATAGGTAGTTGAGATATTTACTCTTTAAAAACATGCTCTTTTGGACTTGTGTGGGCAAAGGTGTATCCTTAAATTTTAAAAATTTATCACAGGACAAACTACAAAAATTCACCTCAGTTTTCTCATTCATCCATCTAATACTGTTCAATTTCACATTAAAATTGAGAAAACATAATTTCTTTGGTGAAAATCAAGTGTTTGATAATGAAGAACCAATCTCATTCATCTTGTAAATACTAGGCACTGTGTTAGACTTTATGCCAAGCTTCGGTAGACTCTGACTAAGTATACAGATTCCAAATGTAGAAAGCAGTAGATGGGGCAAAATAAAATAAAAAGTACTGAATTTCATCATCATTGAGGTTTTACATCTTTTATTTTGCTTAATTTTGTTAATTTCCTTGAGTATTTGAAATTGGAATAATTTTCTAATGGCCTATGACAGGAGAAATATGCTTAATATATATAGTTATATCTCCAGAAACAGAAATATACTTGTTAAAGTGTATTGACTTACTACTACTACTTTACTACTACTAACAAATGAATTTGTTAATGTCCATGTGTGTATACATAGACATTCATGACATATTACAAGGTATGATGTCACTTGTCCCCACCACATTGATAGACACTGAAAATGATGCACCCAAATTTATTTCCCCATCACCTAGAGATGTATTAGAATGAAGGTACAGTGAGAGCTGTTTCACTGGTGGGTAACAAACAGTGTTTTACCTAGGATCCCTCTCTGAACACTTGGGAACAAGAATTTAAAAAAAAAATCCTAAACTTGTTCTTTGGGATACCATAACTCAATCTTTTTGAAGGTGAAGTGTTTGACAGATCGCAGGCCTTCTCCACAAAGTAGACGATGGCTGCCTGCCAAGTGGTCAGCATCAGAGAATGCACAATGCGAGCGTCAGTGCTTAGGAAGAGACTCACCCTCAACTGTGACCTTCCATTCAAGGCTCTCTAGAGAAGTGAGAATCAGCGTGGCTCCTCCCTGGCTTTGATTGTGATGAGAACAGCAGATGTCTCTCTCTCTCTCTCTCTCTCTCTCTCTCTCTCTCTCTCTCTCTCTCACACACACACACACACACACACACAGACAGAGAAATTTCTAATTATAATATGTCTACTAAGAACTGGTGCTATGGACAGTACCAGCACTATGAAAAGTCCAATGTATTAAGAGAGATACAGCGCCTCAGCAAATCTACAAGGATATTCTGTAGTTAAATAGGATGAGAAGAGGGATTGTTTCAGGCACAAAAGCTTAGCCTGCGACAGCCATAAGACTCAATCCACAGCTTTCATCACAGAATACTTCATGACTTCTACTGGAACTTTCCACCCTGGTTTTGGGTCCCTAGGAAATAGGCTTATCCCCCAATTTCAGTTCTGATATCTCTATATTCACACAACAAAACATTTAGCAGCACTTGAAACCTGCAAACCCAGTTCTTGGAGGAAACGGTACAGTCACTCGGCACCTTTATCCATAAATAACTGCCACCCTGTGCAGGGGAGCCGCACTTTCCAACTCCCTTGTCCTCCTACGTGTGGAAAGTACCTGCAATGCTCAGGTCAGTGTTCAGAAGCATTTACAGTGAAAATGACATTTGGATCATGTCTGTTTTAAAAGTCAAATTCCATCACGAAGTTCCCAGAGTGATGTGGCTGTTGGCAAGGTATATCCTTTGTCTTTATCTGGTGTCAACACAATCTAGGAAACTCCCAGAGAACTATTAATGCTTTTGCTCTTCCTGCTGCCTTGAGGAATACTGTTCTCCTTCTATAGAGATGCTGCTATTGACCCCCAGGCAGCAGTGTATGTGTTCTGGAATATTTATCTCCCAAAGGTGATAGATTTACACTGGTCTGCCCATACCTTTGCTTCCACTGCTGATGTGAAGCACAGTTTCACGTTAACTGGTAGGAGATAAGATCTAGTCTTTGAGAGAAGATCAAACAGCATTGTTCCATTTAGCTCTGAGACCTTGAGAAGTAGCTCACCAAGTAAGAGTTGGGAACTGAAGTATCAAGAGGAAGCCTCTTGAAATGAGTCAAGGGAGCATTTTCAAACTGTATGTGCACAGATTGTCCTCTAGCTCCTCTAGTTCCACATGCCTCTCTTACCGGCCACTGATTAAAACACCATTCTTCTGTCACTGTCTGCTTCACTTTCCTGTAGAATCCTCCCTGACAGCATGTAGCAAGCTGTGCTGCAAGCAGACAGATGGCAAGTTGGTGGGGCCGGTCGGTTACCTCATCTCGATGCTCGGCGCCAGTTGTGCTTCAGATTTTGGTGTTTGTTGGATTTGGGGATATTTGCAGAGACTTTACTAGTTATGCAACCTTAATCTGAATATCCAGAATGGTCTAATAAGCAGAACTTCAGGCATCACTGATGCTCATAAAATTTCTGAATTGAGAGCATTTCAGAATTGGGATGTTTGGGTTAGGGGTGCTTAACCTGTATAGAACTTCCTTTATGGATGTGATAAATTACCACCCTAACACAATATAAATTTATTGCTTTCTAGTTCTGTAGTCAAAAATGTAGAGTAGATTTATAAGCGTATACTCATTCAGGAGGCTCTGGGGGAGCAACTTATTTTCTTGCCTGCTCCTGGTTCTACAGGCCTCTTACACTCCATGGCTCCAGGCCCCTCCCTCCATCTCTAGTGCCAGCAGGATGGCATTTGCTCTCCCTGCTGACCTCCTGTCATCTCTTTTCAGGACCTTTGTGGATAAAATAGGCCCACCTGGGAAGCTCCTAAGAGCCTTCATGTCTTAAAATACTGAATCACACTTGTAAAATTCCTTTTTCCATGGGAAGTTCACATACTCAGAAGTTCAAAGTACTATGATATAGAACCCTCTGGGCTGGGTAATTATTTTGTCTACCACATTTAACAGTAGGATGGACAAAGGAGTGAAAATAGGAGGGAGGGAAGGAGGGAGGGAGGGAGGGAGGGGGAGAGAATATTAAGTAAAATTGGTAATAACCAGTTTATCAAAATAGGAGAAAATTTACCCAAAGGCATCAATGCCTTGGCCTGAAAATTATATTGTCATGAGCATGAGCAAGCAAGTAGTTAATTTTAGAAACAGCAAACCTACATGGCAAGGGACCTTCAATTATCATTTCCTTTAAGATCGATTTAAGATTGACTAAATGAGAGATCAACAGGCGAAAACCAAAGAGAGAGTTCAGTTAACACGGCTAAAGGAGAATTTTTGTGTCATCACAATGGTGCTAAAAGATAAAATAGATGAATTGTTATTTCTTCTTTTAAAACATATGAAACTCACGAGCATTTTATGGCAAAATTGCAAAGAGAATGCTAAAGTAGAAGGAGAACTGAAATAAATGGAATTTAAGATCCCTTCCAAGTCAGCTCTCTGAGGGCTCATAACTGTTCATGTACTAAAACTTGAAGAGGAAAATGTCTCCCCCTGTACCCATCAACATGCAGTAGACAGCAGAATGGCCAGGAGCTGATCTGGGGTCTGAGTGTGTGGATCTGGATGACTGAATTGGTAGGGTACATCAGCTCATGGAGCCTGTTTCCTAATCTGTGAGGTGTGGGTGATAGAAAATTTATCATGTATATCCAAAGATCCTCCTGCACCTCTAGCACATTGGAAGCTTTTGAAAGTGGTACCTAGAAGAAGCCAATGTTTATGAGTCAGTGTTTATGTCCATTAGTTTATGGTTCTCTAGATTATTCGCAGTCTTAGAGGCAGGCATACACTGTACCGTAAGATCTGTATCCTCTTTACAAGTAGAGGAGTTAAAATTATAATTTCTTGTGCAAAGTTGGAGATAAGCACAGGGCCCTCAATATGGGGGTGACTTACACAACATTGGCCTCCACTGCTCACCCAGAAATGATGATTGTCAAGGTGGCTTGGATCTGGCAGTTGGGGTGCAGCAGGCGTACACTCACCAGGTATATCAGCACACCAGTCATCACCCAGATGAGGAGGATGGACAGCCGGGCACCAAGGACCTCTGGGGACTGAATCATACAAGATACCTGGTATGGACCATGCCACCCATCCCTTCTCCCTTCCTAAACACCCTAATGCTGCTTGCTTTCTTTCCCCAGAAAGTGTGACTGCAGCCTGGTTTGCAGGCATGGACAGATTCCAGTGCTGAGATGCGGGCTTTGCATGTTACCTTCATAAAACACCAGCATCTGAGTTCATTACGCTCCATGTTGCTAGGTAATTTCAAGCCAGTTTTCAGAACATATTAATGGCTACCCTTGCTGCTTTCCTCAGGGATGGTAATTTAAATAGGTGCTCAAATGATCAACACTTACTAGGAAGTTAAATAAAGAAACACAGTGAATAAAATGTGTTTAGAAACTCTGAATTTCATCACAAAACATTTACAGCTTGCCAATACCAGCACCTTTAGTGGAATAAAAGAGTAACAAGGGAAGGCTTGAGAGGGTGCTTGACGAGAACGAGTTCCATTTGCCAACCAGGCATACTGTACACACCAAGGCCAGGCTTGGAGGGTGGTCAGTGCTCTAGATGCTTCTTAAGAGCAACTGCCAGGGAGAGAAGCTTCAGGCTGGAGACACTACCTTAACATTTGAAGGTGTGATAGCGCTCAATCTGCCCTTGGGGGAAAATACTTTGCTCAGTGGACATCTGTTAACACCTCACGCTGATCTTTAACTCTTCTAAAAAGCAAGGCTCTAGAAATGTTTTGTGCATGACTAAGTCAAGCTCTTTCCATGATGTTCTTATCCCCTTTGAGCTAATACCAAGAATTAGTCTCCTTGAAAGCAGAGTAATGTGGTATTAGCTAGTGTGTGGCCACTGTTGCCCAGACTTCAGTCACAGACATACAGCCTCCATGATTCTTCATGACATTTGCCTTCTAACCACCTCATCTTGTCTTCAAACACATTCATTCTTTGTACTCAGTTTCTTCCTAAACAAAGTTTCAATGAAATCACAAATGTGCTGTGCTACTTTATTCCCTAATGTATACCATATATATTATAGCATGTACAATGAGTGCCCATATGATGTTTAAAAATCACACAACCATCCATCTGTAAAACATGGCATATAGTATAGGAAATGCTGGGCCAATGTGAAGGGTGTGAGTTCAAATGTCAGATACATATGAGTATATGTTCAAGTGGCATCCACTTCAATTTAAAGGCTTCGAGTTTATTATTCTTAATAGCTGAATAATGCTCCACTGTGTAAAAATACCACATCTTCTTCAACCATTCCTCAGGTGTTGGGCATCTTGGTTGGTTCCAAGATTTTGCTATCACAAAGGAGGGCTGCAAGGAAAGTCAACATTTTGGCCCTAGCCTTCTAAGGTCAACTAAGACTCAGGACATATGAAAACTTGTACTGTAACATCATGTAACTCAGTAGTGTCCCAAATTTTCTGATCAAGGAGATTATGGGGCCAAAGAGGAAAGTGATGGATGATGTAGAGTGTGCCTAAGGAGAGTCACATGGAGAGAAAACATTCTCTCAGGCTTTCACAGAGGGCACACTGGCCAAGCAATGGCCGTGACTCATCCACAGGGCTGACACTGACAAAGGTTCTACAATCTGAGGTACAGGATCTCAGGATAAATCCTGAGGGGATTTCAATGACCTTATCAGACCCAAAAGCTACAACTCTTGTTGCATAGTTACTGCTTTACCTTGGTCTTAACCATCCAGCAGAAAAGTATAAAAACGAAATGTAAGAAGTAAAGCCATGCTGTTCTGTTGAGCTGTTGGGGACTCAGGTCAACAATATCTGACATTGCCAATCAAGCAGAAGACCCAATACTATTATGAGCTACTGGACTCTTTTAGAATATTTTGCTGAGTTTACATACCTATAATATTCAAATAATGGAACTTAACAAAAAAGGGGTATAGAGATGAATGTCCATTTTGTATCTGTGTATTCAAAGTGGTTAGGAGATATATAGTTACATTCTCTTAATGAATACAAGGATTTGTTCTAATGGTGTTTGTAAATAGGATATCATGTCTGCATCTTGTACAGCAATTAACCACTAGGAAGAATGTATGCAATGTGTTAATTATTGAAACTGTCCTACCAATTTGATTTGAAACTGTCTCATTGCTATTTGTTTGTCAATAAAACTATGGGGAAAAAACGTCAGACACATATGGTCTGCCTGTGGCTGGCACAAGAGCCTCTACACAATTCACTTATTCTACCTGAGCCTGGTGTGCCTTGTATTTAAGAAAGGTTTAATAATACCACGTGTGTAAAATAAGTTGGAGTATGTTATGGGTTGAACAGTGTGCCCCCAAAATTCATGTTGAATTCATCAGCACCTTGTTATTATAACCTTGTTTGGACATAGGGAATTTGTGGTTGAGATGAATCAAGAAGAAATCATATTGGGGCCAACCAGATAGCTCAGCAGATTAAAATTCCTGTTTAGGCAAAGTGCAGTGGCTGGAGTTCACTCCCTGGAGTGCTGTGCAGCCCCCGCCCCAGGGTGTACTGAGATGGAGATTGAGACTGGGCATGGTGGCAGGAACCTGTAATCCTAGTGCTTGGGAGGCTGAAAACAGGAGGATCACTACGAGTCCAATCTGTGTAGTGAGACTCTGCAGACCCTGAGGACCTTGTAGGCCCTGTACTAAATACATTAAGGGAAAAGAAGAGATCATACTGGAATAGAGGGGCCTGCAATCCTGTCTACCTCTAATCCTGTCTTATTCTAGGGGAGATTTTCACCCAGACACGCACACAGTGCAAACAGCCTGATGTTAGAGTAGAGAGCTACAAAGGTACAGCAGGGATTGCTGGAAAATCACTAGGATCTAAGAGGCATGCACAAAATAGATTCTGCCCCCTAGGCCTCAGAAGGAACTGACCTGGCTGATGCCTGGATCCAGGACCTCTGTGTTCCAAAACTATGACACAATACATTTTTAGTGGAGCTGTCTAGCTTGAAGTACTTTGTTAAGACAACTCTAGGAAGTTAATACAATATATAGAAAAACTAAAAAAACATTTATTTTTTTTTAGTCTAGTCAAACAACTTAAAACTCCCTCTGCAGAAGTTTCAGAAGACTAGAATATAATTTCTGGCTGGCTAGAAAAAGGGACTGAGTTTGCAGATGCCAATTAATGTGTTTTCTTCTCAGGGAAACCCCAGTCCAGATACATAAGCATTGTGTTCTCCTCTCTGACCCCATGACGAGAGAGGCGTACTGAGCAGGAGCTAGGACAATAAAGATCAAACATCCAATACAAAGGTCAGAAGTTGAGTCTAGGAATCAGTAACTGGTTAGATACAAGAAGCCATGAGGGCCCTTTGACAAGTGCTACTGTGGTTGCTGAGAAATCTGTTAGGTGAGCCCAGTCCTCCTCTCCTAGGTGAGTGCAGGCCTTTGGCTGCCAAAACAGGAGGTGTATCTACCACGGTGCTGTGTAGTGTGGTGAGTAATAATCCTATGGCTATCAAAATGGAAATTAACTAAAATAAAACATGTTCAGCTGTGCTCACCACACTCAAAGGCCTCAATGACAACCTTATACTTGTATTATATTTATTCTTTAATTTAGTTTTATTTATACTTGTACTATAAATATAATTTCTAGCACAACAGAAAGTCCTATTGAACAGCTCTAGCCTTGTAGATTGTCAGTGTTCATGGATTTCCATGGCAAAAATGACAAAAAGGACTGCAGCAATCTAAACTGAGTCAGTGTATTTATAAACAACCCCACTTTTACAAAATAGCTTGGCCCAATGTTATCAGAAAGTAGAAAGTACATATAAAAATTTATACAAATGATGGCTGTTTGACCAAAGCTAGGTGGCTCCCAAGCATAGCTCTGCTTGGGACTAGAAGGTTTCCTAGATCACTGTCATAAATTATATTTATTGCTGCTTATTGTTTCATCTTTCTGTGAATGTCAAAAAAAGGCAATCCAAAACACCTGCAGTGATAGATTGTTAGTAAGAAACCAGAACTTCCTAGCATTCTGAAGTGAGCACTTGTGGTCCAAGCTGTGGTCCATACTGGGTCTGGTGGCCCCTGTCAGTGGAGGCTGCCCACGTGGGCTGCCCTTGCTCTGCCCTCAGATTTCAGTGACACTGATTTTCTTAACCAGGGTGGAAACACAGAACTGTAACTTCTGGTTTCTGGGATTTGCACAGAACACTCGGGCAGAAGCTCCTCTAGCTGATGTGAGGAGTGGCACAGAGCTGGAGAGGAGGGGCTGCAGGGCACATGCTGGGAGGCAGGTGTGAGCGGCACAGACGAACCAAAGTAAAAGGCTGCCCAGAGACCGTCACTTTAGCCTGTCCCAGGCCACTTCCTACACGAGAGCTAGCCGTTCTTGTTTCTTCCAAGAGAGGAGAGGAATTTTCTTTCTTTCTCCTCTTGCTCCTAACCCTCCTCCTCCGTTTCCTCCCTGTCTTTCTTTGTTGTTTTGTGGATGGCTAATTGACAGCTGGTTTATTGATGGCTGTCTTAAAGCTTTCTCTGCTGCTGTAATAGAATAGCCTAATCTATAAAGAAAAGAAATTTATTTCTCATCATTTGGGAGGCTGGGAAGCCTGAGATCAAAGTGCCAGCAGCCAGCAGGGGCCCTGGTGCTGCACTATTGCGTGGCAGAAGGGCAGAAGATGAGAGGAGACTGGGAAGCACTCGCTCTTTTAATCAGCGACATAATCGTGGTGCAAGTCATTGATGAGCACAGAGTGCTCATGACCTCATCATCCCCACCGCTTACTACTGTCACAGTGAAACTAAATTGAAACATGAGTTTGGGAGGCTGCATTTAGATCAGCGCAATGGGCCAGTGGGGGCCGGGCAGAAGAGCCCCGCGCTGCTCTGACTTCTCGGGAAGGGGTCTGCCATCTCCGCCCCGCTCCTCAGCTCTCTGGGCCTTACTTTACAATATGGCCCCTGCTTGACCTTTAGTTCTCCCTCCTGGGGAGGCAGAGTAATATAGTGAACATTGGCATGACTGTTTCTGCACGGCGAAACCCTGGGGCTGGGGTTGGGGCTCAAGGGGTATACGTCCCTGCCATCCCATAGAAGAGGAGCCAGCACCACTGATCTGGCCGTCGCTGAGTTATTATTATTTTGGGGGGTGGAGGGTGGTTAGTACAGGGTCTACAGGGTCTCACTACATAGATCTGACTCAGTGATTCTCCTAGTTTTAGCCTCTGAAGTGCTGGGATTACAGGCACGCACCACCATGCCCAGTCTCAATGGCCGCCTCAGCACGCCCCAGGGGCGGGCCAGCATGGCTCGCCAGGGATGGAACCCGGGGAGCTGCCATCACTGAGTTACTATTGAGAGCACACAGTCCCACAAATACATTGATTCTGTAGTGTGCACCACACAGGTCCCCCTGAGGCATTTGCTTTCAATGGGGCTTTGCTCTTTATCTTCCCTTTTCACCCTTGGTTTGTCTCTGAGATCCTATCCCTGTTGCTTAAACAAAGAACTGTACCTGCTCGGTGCCACCCAAACGTCAGCCTTCTGGAGGGGTCCTTGAGGACAGCCGCAGGGAAAACAGACTGAGCAGGAAGCTTGTCAGGTCCACCAAGAGATGGGCAGCATCTGTGACCACGGCAAAGACTCCCGGCTATGTCCCCACCTACGGGAAGTGAAATGGGACACAACACTCAGGCCAGGAAGGCCAGGAACCTTCACACACATACATGTAGCCACAGTTGGTGAAAGACCAGACTCACACAACCACACAAGAGAAAGGCTCTTAAAGTTGGTCTAATCCACCTCTTCTTTCCAATTTGACAAGGGAACTGAGACCTCCTAAACCAGACAGGATTTGAGCACGCACAAATAGACTGAGAGGGAGAGAAAAGGTACAAGACTCTTAACTGCAGGGGGTGAAAGTTTTTCTATAAACCAGAGGCTGCAATGTGCCCTGCAGGTGTGTTACTTCATCATGTGGTTTGACCAAAGTCCCTACCACTTCCTTTTGTTCTCCTGACTTGTATTGTCCACCTCAGTTCAAGATCCTTGTTACAAATAACGGAGCAGAAAGGAAAAAAGAAGGCACCTTACAATGGGCATACAGAGACTAACAGCACTCCAATAAAACATAAAAATAGGCCCGTGGCTGTGAGAGTTCTGCTTTGCTTTCTCTCTGTTTGGCTTGCTCTCTTTCCACCCCTCCAATTCTCCTCTGAAAAGCCCTCCAGCTTCCAGTGTAGAAATTAAGGTAAAACTTTGTCCTTTCTGCACTGAACAGGGCCTAAGTCTGGGAGCAATAACCTCTCTGGCTTTCACTACATCTTCCCAGAAAGAGCCTTCGCTGACTGATTAGTCCTCCCTGAAGCTGTTTATTGCCCTGTGTGCTTCAAAGCAAGCGACTGTCAGTCATCCATGCTTCCAGCATCAGACTCACCTTGTCTCGCCTAATGATTAAAAAAAAATTACACAGATAGCTCATAATTGCAATAATCCCCACAGACCATTGGCTCTAGCTGCACTTAATAACTGGTTTGTCAGAGTTTAATGGTCTGAAGCAAAATAGTCTTCAAGCTTGTTACTGAGCTGTCAGTGCAAAAATCAGAATGATTCATTAGCCAAAAGGCAACATTTTGCTAGCAAATCAGCTGTCCTTCCAATTATCCTCTAATGTTGCTCTCTGCCAAACTTGGTCCTGATAATAAAGCTGTGTTAATAATGCATTATTTTTTGCCCGCAGAACGACTACACAGAGAGAAGCAGTGTGCTGCCGTCTCCTCAATGAATGATGAGGATTCCATGCTCTGGGCTGAAACTGTAATCTAAATGGAGGAAATAAAGTCTTGCAGGGGTTCCTCAGCTGGCTCAGATTAGTCAAAGGCAACTGAGAAAGAAACAGGCTTGCTTCGGAAGAAGCATGTTAACATGGAGGCCTGGGGCTCGAGAATCACTTTGCAACCATCGAAGCTGCTCGTAAGAACCATCTAGAAACTACGGGAGATTACAGATGAATCCTATAGAGCAAACTGTTTGCAAGAGGTAGTTGGTGGCTACTTTTGTGTCTATTCCCGAAAGCATGAGGTGCTATTGAGAGTTCAGTCACGCTGACCAGGGAGTACCATCGACAGTTCAGACAGGGAGCAGCAGAGTGCAATCGCTCTCCTTGGGGACCTCCTGCCCGACGCCCACTGACGGGCTGGAACCAGAGAGCAGGGGAGGCTTGAGGAGCCACACGCAGAGAGGAGGGTAAGGATGGGCAAGGAGGAAGGAGGAGGCAGGAGCAGGAAGAAGGAAGCGCAGGCACGAAGGCACAGAGGCGAAGGGCGCGGTGCTCCTCGGGTTGGACGCTGCTCTGCGGGCTGAGTGGACCTAGTGACACTTTTAAGCTGAAACCGTGACATGTTCATGTTTGTATTTGACAGAAGCCTTGACCAGAAATAGAGACAACGACCTGGAGGGGGGAGAAGCTGGAGATTAAGATGCAGCAGCAACAGGGAAAGGAAATTATGAGGCAGGCATGAACGGACGAGGGAAGCAGCACTTGTACTTCGGGAACACTCGGCAAGATGTGCGGAGCTGTGCGGTCGTAAGAGGTAGGAGAGGTGCAGAAAGGGTTCGGTCCCGGGGATGGACTCGATCTATGGCCCACACCTTGAGGTGGCCACAGAACGCCACCTGGGATTTGAATACTTGCTGCTGCATCCTCAGGACACGCTCCTTGGAGAACAGAGACACCTGTTCCTCCTCTGATAGCAGGAGCCTGGTGTCCCATGAGTAGGCTACACCATTGTGTGCTATAAATTTATTTTTACAAAACAATCTTTTTATCTTATAACCAGCATGATTATACTGCCCTATACTCTATGTTGTGTCAAAAAAATTCAGGGGCCAGCCAAATAGCTCAGCAGATTAAAGCGCCTGCTTAGGCAGACACGAGGGCTGGGAATTCTATCCCTGGGCCTGCCATACTGGCCCTGTACCTGGGATGCCCTGAGATGGCAATGAGACTGGGTGTGGTGGCACTTGGGAGGCTGTAAACAGGCCGATCACTATGAGTCCCATCTACACAGTGAGACCCTGTACACCCTGTACACCCTGTCCTAAATACAAAAAAAAAAAAAAAGAAAGAAAGAAAAAAGAAAAAAAATTCATCAAGCTATTATCTAACTATCCTGAAAGCAGGCAACACTGTGGACAATTAGCACACCACAGTGTCCATAGCCATGTCTTGACATTTCTTAAGTTTCCAATACCACGAACCTCAACATATTTGTTGTACAAGCTGGTGAGATCCTGCTTGTAGAAAAAATGTAAGCACCCCCTTGCCAATATTTGGTTAGCCCACCACCACCAGCTGTATCTTTCTCTGAGGAAAGAAAACCTTTTCCCTCTCAGCTGCCATCATTTTCCCAGCCTGCAGCCAGCTCAGCATGTCTTTCAGCAAGCTTGTGTCTCTCACATCTTTGAGGAACTCTGAGGCCTTCAGTAACTCTGAGTGGGGATAGGGCTACTCCTAGCTTCTTCCTGCAGGGATGTCTGTGCGCTTACAAGCACATCTCTCTGTGGCTTCTCCATGCAAGGCACTTTCAGAAGCAACATAAAGTCTCAACTCAGCAGCTCAAGAGCCCATGAAGAGTGGACTCATGGTGCTTAGATCCTTTGGCTTTACTCCCCCACCCCCTGCTCTGCACTGTGCTTCCCAGCAGTGGTTCCCCCCAACATAGCTCAGTGACCTCCCTCCCTCCCCCGATCCTAAGTGTCAATTATTCAGGTCTAAGGATCAGTCCAACTCCCCCGCTGGACCTCAACGTTTCTTGGCCTGCCTCTTAATGACCACATCTTCTGGTCACATCTTCCTCTGACCTTAGGTAGGCTCTTTCATTTCTATGTCATCAATGCCCAAACTTGCTTTAATAGCAATACAATTATAATGCATGGTCTCATGCTAGAAGAACAAACCTGGGTGGGATTGAATCAGGTATAGCCAAATTCTGAGGCTCAGAAGATTCCAGAGTCCTGCTCTGACTCCACTGATGCTATTAATTATCTCATAGACAGGCTTTCTTTCCCTTTATGAAAAAGGTGGGGCTCTGGAAGCTCTAGACCTGTACCATGTCTGCTCAGTAGTTGCAGAAAGAATTGAGAACATTGATTCAACTTCCCTATAGGAAGATCCAGACTCTGCTTCACCCAGCATAGCTGCTCACACTGAATCCTGCCTAGAGTCTGAGCTGCTCAGGCCAAGAGGATCAGAACCGCAACCAGTACAAGACTAACAAACAACTCTTAACAGGAAGTGCCAGGCCACTCCCAACACTGCCAGCTAAATTCCTAAGAATCTGTCTCAGGCCTGCCCACTAGAGATCTTTCAAAGTAAGGCCCGATGTTTCCTACCTGACAAGCTGCAGCAGTAGAATGTCATGCGTCCAGACCACTCCATCAAAGTCTCCCAGGCCCATAGGTGGTATGCTAATGCTACAGAGCCTGCCGAAGAAAGTACACATCAGGAAGAGAAAACTTGTATAAATATTTTAATACTAGATTTGTTGAGGTGTCATGAGATTAATACAAGATCCCTGTGGCCTTTACCATGACAACAGGTGCTCAAACTTGTAGCCAGGAGTCTCCAGGCATGTGCTAGTATGTTGGACTATGAAAGTGAATACATTTTTGGCAGACTCCATAGCTGTTTTCTCTGAGCATCAAGAATGGCCTTGGGGAGTCCTAGCCCAGGTCCGGTGAGTGTGCGGAGAG